GGGCCAACGTTGTCTGGTGTCTTTACATCCAAGAATGAAATGAAAGAATTCCGTTCATGCAGAAAACTTTGACTATATTTTGCTTACTTCCGGTAAAAACCACCAAATTTATAACCCTTACGCGAGCTTCGCTTTACATACATTTAGTATTTTCTCAGATGAGTTTAGAACAAGATGGTCAGGTGCCGCCCTTAGTTATTTCGTTCGCAAGCAGCTTGGTTGGCCTGATGCCATGAAGAGTTTTTTCAAAAACCCTCAATAGACAGGTCCGTTTTGCACGTTATTAGTTTCATTCTTATTTGGTAAAAGCGATTTTGGATTCAAAACTCTGCAGTAAAATTTTTAGAAAATTTTTCAATGCAAATGTTGGTCGAGAAACTGATTGATCGAGCCAATTACAGAGGAGAAAGTCTTGTGTACAATTGAGGTTCTTGGATTGTTGATGCCGCAACTTGAATACCGGTTCCATGGCACTCTAGTAAATGGTTTTGCCTTTGCTGACGACTAAGTCGTGTGCGCAGAAAGTCAGGGTCACCTCTAAGAAGAGCTTAGAGTTGCTGCGATCAAGTTGAAAAGAGATGACATGAAAATAAACTGCTGAAAGCCGAAAGTGATGGTGATTTGTGGGGACAGGAAATATCGGGCGACAACAGTCTCAGTCGAACCGATTTCCTCCGCTGAGTAACTCATCGCCCCTCTGAGTCCGACAGACATCGTAACGTATTTGTAAATCTCTTTTACTTTCAAGGCAAAAGGAGTCTTCAACCACAGACAGCATCTGCTCAAACTGCTTGATGAGGTGACACGTGTCCCATTAAAGCCGCTTCAAAGAACGGAGATTACGAGGAACTACACGATACCGAAGATGACCTATTCGTTGGTACTCGGCCAAGTCCAACGAAACACACCCAAAAGGTTGGACAGCTATATCAGAAAATCAAATAATGGCTGGCTACGTTTACCCAAGGACACCCTGATAGGCTACATCGACGACGGTAAACAACATGGGGTACTTGGTATCCCAAGTCTGAGTGCAACAATCCCGATGCTGCGAGAAGCGCGTATCGGAAGGATCCCTAATATCAATGCCGAGTACTATGCAATGTGGTCAACGATTACGCATCTGGCAAGACTGTTTGGGATCTCAGACTTCCGATCCGAGTCCGCGGTGCACAAATGATCAGCAAGGAAGAGCTGGTGGATGCTCGAATTGATAATCTGCACAAAAGCGTTGACGGTCGCGGTTTACAAGAGTTATTCGTTTTGCTTGGCTTGTATCTCCAAAACCAGTGTGTCCAAGGATATTTATCCGTGGTATCTAGCTTTGGTGCAACCTGCTCAAGGCGAGATTTAGGAGCTTTTGGCATTGTCATGGGGGCCCGACGATCTTCTGTAGTGGAAACTGTGGCTAACCGTGGAGTTTGGTGGATATTTCGCAGTTCTTCTGGACCATGCATGACGCTAGGTATGCTCGTCATTATCGGGTTGCGAGAGGACTCGCAAGACGTCTCTGTCGACTGGGATACANTTGGTATCCCAAGTCTGAGTGCAACAATCCCGATGCTGCAAGAAGCGCGTATCGGAAGGATCCCTTATACCCAACGCCGAGTACTATGCAATGTGGTCAACGATTACGCATCTGGCAAGATTGTTTGGGATCTCAGACTTCCGATCCGAGTCCGCGGTGCACAAATGATCAGCAAGGAAGAGCTGGTGGATGCTCGAATTGATAATCTGCACAACAGCGTTGACGGTCGCGGTTTACAAGAGTTATTCGCTTTGCTTGGCTTGTATCTCCAAAACCAGTGTGTCCAAGGATATTTATCCGTGGTATCTAGCTTTGATGCAACCTGCTCAAGGTGAGATTTAAGAGCTTTTGGCATTGTCATGTGGGCCAGACGATCCTCTGTAGTGGAAACTGTGGCTAACCGTGGGGTTTGGTGCATATTTCGCAGTCTTTCTGGACCATGCATGACGCTAGATATTCATAATCGGATCGGGTTGCATGAGGACTCGAAAGACGTCTCCGTCGACTGGGATACACTATCTTCGGGGTGTTGAGACCACCTACTTCAACTTCCTTCATCAAACCTCACTTAATCGCTGTTTAGAAGCGCCCAGCAACTGTGATAGACGTAAGTACAGCCTCGGATGGGTGCGGAGTGACTGTGTGGAATAAAAAGATGAAGTATGATACTGATTAATATTCATCCGAGTTAATCTCAGCCCATCGTGCAGTTGTTTGTGATGATGACCTTTTGGTCCATCAACAGATAACCATCTCTTCTCGAGGGATCTGCTTCCCTCAATCGACCAAGGCTGTTACTGGGTTGGGAATTCCTAAGGTCACAGGCAGTGACTTGTGTTTGCTTGCCCTAGTGGGTTGTTGGCGTACTTGCGACACTATTATGCATGGCATATGGCATTGAGTGGACATCTTTGCCATTTTATCTCACACCAGACCCAG